GTCCGGGACAATGCAATGGATACGTACGTACTGGATAGGATACGTACGTATTGAAAGAAAGTATACGATACGAAGCTCCGAAGAAAGGAATGAAGTATCATACCATTCCTACGTACCTATCTTAAGGTACGCTTCCTATGTATGTATCATAGGATGCATCGTAAGAGGTCCGAGGATCGTAAGAGGTCTAAGATACTATTCAAGAATACCTCACGAAGAAYARAGATGTCACRAGTCCGGAATAGAGAAGCTTCATGTAGAATCCCTACCAGGTCTACATGAGCCTTCTGATCAGAACTTCGGAATTCTCGTGAACGCGCTTGGTAATCTTCGAATAATTCTAATCTTATAATTCAATTTTCATACACACTTAACACCTACTAAGAGAATACACGTAATCTCGTGCACCGATGGATTTTTTGTAGCATATGGTGCTGGAATATTCACCCTCGCCGTCGTTGGACTTCTTACCATCAACAACAGCTACCAGTGCTACTACTACCCCCTACTACTACTAGGTACTAGTAGGACTACTAGTAATATTAGTACTATTAGCTGCTTCGACAAGCTGCTTCAGAAAAAGTGGTAGTATCATGAACCAAACTGAACTCATTGTGAGGCAGTACACATACCACGTAGTAAATCACGAGTAGGTAGTGAGTGACAGCAATAAGCTCAACCACTCACTCACTCACTCTTTATTGTAATCCCCGTATTATACGACACTAAAGAGCATACTTACACTTTGCAGGTTATGAGCAACAGAAACATACCTCATCTCATCACCATCATCACCACATAGTAGATTGATTTTCTATACTCTCAGTTACAACAGAACGCACCAGCCCAACATACGGCAAACGTTTCCTTGCACTTCAGCACTCTATTCGAATATTTTTGGAAAACTCCTTTTCCCTTTGTCTGAACCGTAAATCTGAACCGTAAAGGTCCAAATCGGTTGCCACGCCGGCGTGCGTTAAGAAACTACTGCGCGACCTGCTCTAACGTCCTTGGTAAAGCTAGTAGCACCGCTACAGAGTAAAGAAGAGTACGGAAAGATCTGAAGAGGTTGGTTGGAGAAAATGACGAAACAGCTACCGTAGGATGACCACAACACCAAGAACTACCAAAAAGCCATTCAGTTCCTGCGACGTCGCCAGACACCAGTCAAGTCCTGCAAGAAGGGGTGCTCATACCGTTCCGTTGCGAAAAAGATTACGGTACGACTTATTAAGCAACCATGGGGATTCTTTTTAGCAAGGTTTTCGAAACTTTATTTGGATCGAAAGAAGTTCGAATTCTTATTCTGGGGTTAGACAATGCCGGAAAGACCACGATCCTTTACCGACTACAAAATGAGTCGGACGAAGCGGTGCAAACGATCCCCACGATTGGATTTAATGTAGAAACGCTACAGTATAAAAATATAAAGGTGCGTTTCTGACAGCGTTGCATTGCCTTGACGAAGCTTTGTAACCTGCCTGCGACGATAGTTCGACGATGATCTGTGCTTGGTAGAAGATCACACCAGGAACGGTTAACATACCTTTAAACAAGGGGCGAAACATCGTGTAGAAATGCAAAAAAAAACTTTGCCAAAATCTTGTTTACACGAGCTGAATCTAACAATAACTACATCTTTTCTGCAACTCAAAACAACCGACGAATGAATGAATGGCACTTATATCGAATATAAAAATGAATCGAACAATAGTTTCAAGTGTGGGATCTCGGAGGGCAGACAAGTATTCGTCCCTATTGGCGGTGCTATTATCCAAATACAGACGCGATCATTTTTGTGGTGGATAGTGCGGATGCTGAGAGAATGCCGGTTGCAAAAGGGGAGTTAGCTGCCATGTTGGAAGAGGACGAACTGAAGGAATCCATCCTGTTGGTCTTTGCCAACAAGCAGGATCAAAAGGGTGCAATGAACGCGCAACAAATCAGTGACGCCCTTGGGCTGCCGGAGATCCGAAATCGACAATGGTCCATCCAAGAAACGTCCGCGTTGAAGGGGAAAGGTCTGTTTGAGGGATTTGATTGGTTGGTCACTTGTATCAAAGGCACGGACGAATAATGCTCTCGTTGGACCAGTATGTTTTAAACGCTAGTACGAGTGGAAATGTCGCAATAACTTTACTCAACAACCCTGGCGATCGATGAATCGTATATCGTCAGCGAATATACCGGATAGAGAACCGGCCACGTTCCTTTGTTCATCGATTTGCCGTCCACGATTCCCAACTTGTTGTGTCGGACTTCTGCACCTGTTTCCATTTTGATTTTTGGCCTCAAAGACGTCTAACCATCATTATTGTTTAGTATCACCTAGTTCTATATTCAATTAAGCGTACCCATGAAAAACGATGCAACCGCGTACAAACCCTAGTGCATGCATGATCCGAAATACGACAATTCTTTCCCACGAATTTATATTTCATGCTCTATTCAATAGTCAGTGAAGCAGACAATTGGCTGTGAAATCGCTTCATCGAAATATTGCTTTACTTTGTCTAAATCATATCTGCCTTTGCCTGCCCGATGGAGTTTTGATGAATTCGAAAAATGCGAATGAAAACAAAAAATGAGGCGGGAAGAAGGCAAAGACAACGGAAAAGTCCAACCTCCGAGTTCTTTGGAAGTAGCCATGCATCGGAAGTCTATTCATTATTGTGTGGCCATAGAATAATCATTCAATATGGCAACAATAGTTTTGCAATCCTCCATTCCGATACGAGTGAACTAACCTTTTCGATCAATTCACCTAGCTCACCGCTCTGGTACATCTCGATCATGATGTCGGATCCTCCGAGGAATTCTCCACACTGGTGCATGAGAGCAACAGGGAACCATTCGAAACAAATTACAGGGCAGATTAGTCGACCGGCTACGTTGCTTAGTCACAAAAGAAATTAAACAAAATCTAACAGGAAACACAATCTTTTGGGATGCACAGTATCCCACCAATCACGAACACAAAACAAAAAGTAGTATGCGCACAACAACAAAACAAATACGGACGCACCACATAAAGCTGGGGAATAGTAGGCCACTGAGAAAAATCCTTGACACCCTGTCGAACGGCTTCGTCGCTGAGAACGTCGACCGAATGGAAATCAATGTCAAAGGATTGCAGGATCTGACAGGCAGTGTTGCTGAAGCCACACTGTGGGAAGAGCTTGCTCCCCTTCATGAACAAAAGGACGGGATGGTTGTCTACCAGCTCCTGGATGCGTTCCTTGGTGTCCTCGGGGGTCTCCTGGCCAAAGTCTTCGAACGACATGAACCGGGCGGTAGTAGAAGCGGCACTCTTGGCGGGAGCGGCAACGGAACAGCTGGTTGCCGTAAAGGCGCATGTTGTACGGGCGACCAGGGCCCAGGACATCAAAGCGGCTAGGGTGGTAGAGCGGATCATTTTGAAACTCGGTTGCGATTGTCAATTGCAGAAATGTGTCGGATCGAATATCGTTCGCTGTAGAAGTTGTGTTTGTTTGGACGATGAAGAAAGAACCAGCATGCGATGATGATGCGGGAAGCGTTGACTGAATTGAAATACAATATGGCGGAGCCGATTACGTACGAGCAGATACCGTACCGGCCGGTACGTAGATGCGATACTGCAAGTACGGAAAAATCAACAATCAACGATCGGCTGAGGATGAATTTTTAGTCAATTTAGTCGATACTACCTGCCGAAATACCTCTAATAACTACCGCAGTACCGGGACGTTACGAAACGACGCATTACCAGTTACGTTAAGCTACTGTACCCAAGACTACTCCGACTAAGTAAATATGCTCATCTCCTACCGTACTTAGTATGGTCCTTAAAACGAGAACTGGAACTTTCAGCATGAAAATAATTTAAACTGGAACTTTTTTTCGAAGGCTATTGTAAAATGAAATATAAACTTACTTATAGGAAATATAAACTTACTTAGAACAACTTTTCCTAATTTCTTGTTTTCTCACGGCAGCTTCGGCAGCTCAAATTCACCAAAATAAACAGTAATTTCATTCCTTCAGCACGGGCGCTGGCAAAATAACTGGACCATTATGGTACAGCAGCTTCGGCAGCTCAAATTCACCAAAATAAACAGTAATTTCATTCCTTCAGCACGGGCGCTGGCAATTCACCAAAATAAA